CTCCCCCCACATACAGTGTACCCCCTGCTATTCCAGAGCTAAACTCCACATAGCAAGCCTCCCCCCACACAGCGTACCCCTGCTATTCCAGAGCTAAACTCCACATAGCAAGCCTCCCCCCACATACAGCGTACCCTCTGCTATTCCAGAGCTAAACTCCACATAGCAAGCCTCCCCCCACATACAGCGTACCCTCTGCTATTCCAGAGCTAAACTCCACATAGCAAGCGTCCCCCCACACACAGTGTACCCCCCCATGCTATTCCAGAGCTAAACTCCACATAGCAAGCCTCCCCCCACATACAGCGTACCCCTTTGCTTTTCCAGAGCTAAACTCACATAGCAAGCCTCCCCCACATACAGTATAACCCCCAAGTATTCCCAAACTCCACATAGCAAGCCTCCCCACACACAGCGTACCCCCTGCTATTCCAGAGCTAAACTCCACATAGCAAGCATCCCCCTACCCACAGCGTACCCCCCTGCTATTCCAGAGCTGAACTCCACATAGCAAGCCTGCCCACACACACAGCGTACCCCCTGCTATTCCAGAGCTAAACTCCACATAGCAAGCCTCCCACATACACAGCATACCCCCTGCTATTCCAGAGCTAAACTCCACATAGTAAGCCTCCCCCCACACACAGCTAACCCCTCTGCTATTCCAGAGCTAAACTCCACATAGCAAGCCTCCCCCCACACACAGCGTACCCCCTGCTATTCCAGAGCTAAACTCCACATAGCAAGCCTCCCCCCACATACAGCATACCCTCTGCTATTCCAGAGCTAAACTCCACATAGCAAGCCTCCCCACACACACAGCGTACCCCCATGCTATTCCAGAGCTAAACTCCACATAGCAAGCCCCCCCCACACACAGCGCACTCCCTCTAAGTATTCCAGAGTTAAACCTACATAGCAAGCCTCCCCACACACAGTTGCAACCCTCTGCTATTCCAGAGCTAAACTCCACATAGCAAGCTCTCCCCACACACAGTGTGCCCCTCATGCTATTCCAGAGCTAACCCACATAGCAAGCTTCCCCCACACACAGCGTACCCCCTGCTATTCCAGAGCTAAACTCCACATAGCAAGCCTCCCACATACACAGCATACCCCCTGCTATTCCAGAGCTAAACTCCACATAGTAAGCCTCCCCCCACACACAGCTAACCCCTCTGCTATTCCAGAGCTAAACTCCACATAGCAAGCCTCCCCCCACACACAGCGTACCCCCTGCTATTCCAGAGCTAAACTCCACATAGCAAGCCTCCCACATACACAGCATACCCCCTGCTATTCCAGAGCTAAACTCCACATAGTAAGCCTCCCCCCACACACAGCGCACTCTGCTATTCCAGAGCTAAACTCCACATAGCAAGCCTCCCACATACACAGCATACCCCCTGCTATTCCAGAGCTAAACTCCACATAGTAAGCCTCCCCCCACACACAGCTAACCCCTCTGCTATTCCAGAGCTAAACTCCACATAGCAAGCCTCCCCCCACACACAGCGTACCCCCTGCTATTCCAGAGCTAAACTCCACATAGCAAGCCTCCCCCCACATACAGCATACCCTCTGCTATTCCAGAGCTAAACTCCACATAGCAAGCCTCCCCACACACACAGCGTACCCCCATGCTATTCCAGAGCTAAACTCCACATAGCAAGCCTCCGCCACACACAGCGTACCCCCTGCTATTCCAGAGCTAAACCTTACATAGCAAGCTCTCCCCCACACACAGCGTAATTCCCCTGCTATTACAGAGCTAAACTCACATAGCAAGCTCTCCCCCACACACAGCGTACTCCCCCATGCTATTCCAGAGCTAAACTCCACATAGCAAGCCTCCCACACACACACATGCACTCTATGCTATTCCAGAGCTAAACTCCACATAGCAAGCCTCCCCACAGCGCACTCTCTGCTATTCCAGAGCTAAACTCCACATAGCAAGCCTCCCCCCACATACAGTGTACCCCCTGCTATTCCAGAGCTAAACTCCACATAGCAAGCCTCCCCCCACACACAGCGTACCCCCTGCTATTCCAGAGGTAAACTCCACATAGCAAGCCTCCCCCCACACACAGCGTACCCCCCTGCTATTACAGAGCTAAACTCCACATAGCAAGCCTCCCCCCACACACAGCGTACTCCTCTCTATTCCAGAGCTAAACTCCACATGCTTCCCCACACACAGTGCTGCTATTCCAGAGCTAAACTCCACATAGCAAGCCTCCCCCCACATACAGCGTAACCCTCTGCTATTCCAGAGCTAAACTCCACATAGCAAGCCTCCCACATACACAGCGTACCCCCTGCTATTCCAGAGCTAAACTCCACATAGCAAGCCTCCCCCACACACACAGCGTACCCCCCTGCTGTATCACTCATTCACAGGCTTTTCATTCTTCGCCTTTTAATAATTTTATGGACCCTGGTGAATTTTCCCCCCTTTAAACTGCAGGTATAAGGCGCTGAGTTGCATTTTATGAAGTGCTTGGATAGGAGAAAATCCACCTCGACCTAACCTTTACTGGGTCACAAGGAAAGCATGAAAATCACGTCAGTCTCAGGGGTACATATCCCCCCAGTCATGTATTTTACAGAGTAATTATGCAGTCTCTAAACTCTTCAGGTTAAACCATGCCAACCAGGGCTGCCCATGTTCAGGGC